GATTTTCAGTCACCTGCATTGTAGTACACAGGATCAAAACCAGAATGAATTCTGGGACAAGCATGATATTTAGAGCCCCTGAGATGACTCAGCAGCCTTTGAGTCATTCCTGTCAGTCACACCCAGAGATTCAGGAGGGCACTTGGGCTAGATGCATGTCTTTCAGTTTCTGAAAGCCTGATTTCTATTGAGGCTGTTTCTGTGCTCTGCATACTGGGCTGTGAGTGTGTCGTGCTTTTGCTTCCCTGGCACTCAACAGCATTCTTTGTTGGTGCCATCTTCTGTCAGCGTGGACTTGCCCTGAGTACAGCTTCCCATGACCCTCAACACATGTAGCTTCTTTCCACTGGCTGTTGAGTGTATTCCTGCAATTCATCTTTGTACACAGGCCTGGGTTGTACCTTCTGAATTTATCATGCAATACCAGGGGCAGAATGGTTGATGGCTAAGATGCCTGTGTACAAACCTGAATCTCATTAATTACCAACTTGCTGGAATAGGACAGAGTAAGTTACGTGTACTTGTTTATGCACATTGTATAGTTATACTTTTCTCGTTGAGTAAGACTTGGCAGAGATAATTTGTAAGAGTATAACACACAAAAAAATGTGTGTTTAAAAGAGCCATCTGGAACTTCAGAGTGTGAATTAATTACTGTATATTATATCTTTCACCCTTATGTACTCCCTTGTTTGTTTCTTCGTTCCTGATTTCCACTCCCTATCACACTCTATTCCCAATTCTCTAGCTTTTAAGTAAAAAATGTGTGTGTTACTTTATTTCTTCATCAACATCATTTCCTATCTGGCAGGCTACTGTCCTTAGCAACTGGGCTAGAAACAAGCCTGGGGCAAGGTTATTGCAAGGAAAAAGAATAATTCTTTTTAGTGGAAGCCTGACTCTTGTCTTTTCCAGTGCTGCTTAACCCCTATAGAGTTGTCCAGCTAGTAGTAGTCCCTTATTAGTGTCTGCTCATTTCCTTATGGCATTTGCATGGTAAGCCTTTATGTCAAGGCCATTCTGACAAAGTTTTACATTTCTTTTTATAAATTACCTCAGATTATTATACATCCCATAGAGAAAGGCTTCAGTATACACATCTACTTACATTTTCAGCCCTAAGATTACCTATTTGGCTGCTAGTTGTTCATTTAATATCCCCTCAAATTTTCACACCTGTGGAATTTGGAAAGGAAAGTGCATATGCATCCAAAAGCAACACTAGGACTGAATTTCTCTTTGAAAAACTTTAATGAAAAATACAAAGTAAAAGTCACTTTCACTAAGTTTAGCAAAAGACAATGATTTGTGGAGAAATAACTTCTTTGTATGACCTTCCATTTTCATATGGAAAGAATATTTACTCTTAAAAGAGCAGTGAAAAAATTCTGAAAAATTTATTTGTGAAATGATATTTAAATGAGATTCTAGTAAATAACAGTACCACTTGAAAATATGTAAATATATATTAAAAATGGGAAAAAACCCTGATAGGCCTGAAAATCAGCAAAGAGGAAGACTAATTCTTTAAGAAAAAGGGAAGAGTGTACATAAATAAAACTTTTAGAAAAGAAGAAAATTGAAATTGCTAATTGAGGTATCATATCTAGAATATTAAACCCCACAAGAGCCAGTGCTTACAGGTTTTGGAGTAATCACGAATGCCCTGGGATGGTATACCCTATGGTTGACCACAGCTGTACAAAAACAGGAAACGTACTGTCTTATAATCCTTTAACATGCTCAAAGTACTCCGAACTATAATGTTGAATGAAAAGTTTTGGCTTCCAGATTGCACACAGATTTCGCATCTGTAAAGACACAAGGGAAGATTGCACATAATAGACTACTGGGAAAGGGGGCAAGACACCAAAGACAAACTAGCTGGGCATCATTTACATTGCCTAGAGCTAATCCTACTCACATGGTTCTTTTGTTGTGAGTTGTAATCATCTCCAGAAATAGCTAGTTTATTTGAGGGGTGCATGCACAATGTCATCCAGAAAAAGCTGGGCAGTGCAGGCTCAGGTGGAACATGGCTACAAAATGTTCACTTCAGTGCAACATTCCTGGGAGCCAAGCACCCTGTTACCAGTTGGAGTGATGTGACTGCATCCATAATGAAGATAATCATACAGAGCAGGGATTGCTGGTCCATAATGGTAACAGGAGAATTACCATTATGTGCAATTCAATGCCTCTTAGATTCTATGCTAGAATTCAAGGTATACTGGGAAAACACACTAACCAGAAAGATGGGAGAAGTGGAAGAGGCGGGAAAATAATGATGAGGAATATTTGTATACTAAAACATGTTGGGAAGAGGGAGAGAGAGAAGGGAGGGTAGTGTAAAAAAATTAAGATGCATCATGAACATGTACCAGCTGCCCCAAATGAATTCATTTTATACAGCAAACATATGCTAATAAAACCAGAGAGAATCCAATTTAAAAAAAGATATAATGATGACCTACCAGAAGAAAGGGAAGAAATGAATGTATTGTAAAGGTCTTATTATCTGAGGTAATGATGGCAGGGAAAAATCTTGATTGGGAAAATAATAGTTTATTTGTTGTCAAACAACAGTGGAAATCTTAGTACTGATTGTGGTAATAAGCACTTAATGGATGGATACGGCTGTTCTGTGTCATCTAACAGAAAGGCAAATTTTTAAAAACATCAGGTGTGTGGCCATGTCCATCTTATTCAGTGGACTTGAGACTCTGTGATATCTAGTTCTTCCTCAAAGTCAAAATGACAATGAAATATAAATCTTTGTTTCAATTCAGGGCGTTAAGGCAGCCATGGCAAAGCAACTAAAGACATTCATGAGTGAGGATTTCCAGATTTGCTTCAAAAAGTGACAAGCACAAGAGGTAGTATTATCGATCAGGAGGATTAATATCAATATACATATGCTTATAGATTATATATGTATGAAAGAATTGTTTAGAGAGTGTATTTCAGTGTATGAATTCAATAAATGCTTAAGAATGACCAGAACCCACCCCCCGAGTGCCCTGAGATGGTGATTGAGACTGGGCGTGGTGGCACGTGCCTGTAATCCCAGCTCTTGGGAGGCTGTAAACAGGCGGATCACTATAAGTCTGATCTAGTAGTAAGACCTCGAATACCTGGTAGACCCGTCCCCCCCCCCCAAAAAAAAAAGACCATAAATCTTTCATAAAAAGAAAATAAAGAGAACTTGAACTTCTAGGCATCACTGGATACAGAAAAAAGCAAAAGAATTACTTCTTTAGTGCAGTAGGGAAATTGTTGGTTAAAAAATTATGGTGCATTTCTTAATGAGTACACAGATATAAAATTCCCACTGTAGGGAAAAGAACTTGTAGATAGGAGAAAAACATTTTGGTTTACTGGCTAATCCTGAACAGAAAGAGTTAAAACCTTCCTCAGGGAGTAAAGAACAAGATCAGAGAGTTAATAAGCAGAAGAGGAGGGAGACAGACAGACAAGTTAACCTAATCACCCTCAATAAAATGTGGAAGAGACAAGGGCAGGGCTGTTCCCATGCTAGGGTCACTGTATTGTTGCATTCTGCTATTCACTAATTTTAAGTTGCCTCTTCCAAATTAATCTGTAAATCCCAGAGGTAGGTCCCCAACAAGGACAAGGGTGGCCACCTAGAAATGTGCCTGTAGGGCATAGGAGATGGTTTCTGGGTTGCAGTTTGGGGTCCCTGGGAAGCCAGTCAGGTTGTGAGAATAACAACCAACTATAGTTTTATTTCTAATGGAAAATATACCATATTTTACACCATAAACAATAAAAAGTTGAATTTATGGAAGCAAGTTGGAAATTAGTGGCTGTATATATGTGAAGGTGGTTTGACTTCAACTTGTTAATGAATGGCTTTGACTGTTATGATCAACTAGATTGACTTTTCTTCACTGCCTTTGTGAACATCTTGAAGATCTCTGAAATGCCAAAGTGAGCTACCTTCCAAGGCCAAGAAAGCACTAATTTTGGTAAGGTTGAAGTCAGTTATTCCAGTTCTTGTTCTGTTCTCATCGAAAGCCTTATTCAGAGTTTTTGCCTAATATTTCTAAACCTAAACAGAAACAACAGATTTTAAGAAAATATACAAGAACGTTAATACTTACTGAACATCTACCAAGGGCCTGATCATTTTGTTGTTACTATAACCATGAAGTAGGTCTTCCAAATAAAGAAACAGAATAGGACCAGGTTAAGGAATTTTTTCTTTTATCCTATTTAGTGTCAAGTAAGCAATGGGGTTAATTTTTGAAACACTGATCATTATTCATGTTTAGTGATTATTAAAATATATCATATCCTAAGTAGCTCATACATCACTAGCATTTGTGAACACATACTGCATGTGCAGCTTCCATACCAGGAACCAGAGCATTACCTGAATCTCAGACCAAGTACCTTCTCTTGATCACTGTGGCCTCCCCATGGTAGCTATTCTCCTGAGTCCCAGCACTTCTAGCATCAGAGTAATAGTCTAGATTGTTTTAGTACTATTTTTAAGCTTTATACAGATGGAATCATAAGTTCTATACTGTTTCACATCTGGCTTGTTTCTCTCAACATTAAGTTTGGGCAATTACCTAATTAATATTATTACATATAGTTGAGTTTACTTATTTACATTCTTCTGTAAAGTACTACTGTGTTTAATATACTGCAATTTACATATCCATTCTACTTTTAGTGAACCTTAAGATAGTTTTGGAGTTTTAGCTCTTAGGAGTAACAGTACTGTATGTAGTCTCATATATGCATATATTTTTCTGCACAAATATATACCTTTTTGTGAGATATGTACTTGGCAATAATTTTTATATCGTGGGATTTGCTTTAGAAAGCTTGAATTCTTAATGTTTTCTTTAACTTAGTTTCCCAAGGTAACATACAAACCTGTGCTCTCACAGGGAATCCTCTTGGCCCACATCCAGTTTTCTAAACTAGGTTCCCGTTTCCCAGTCCTCAGTGCTTGTTTCACTTAAATTTTATTTGAAGGTAAGAACTTGGTAATGATTTTCTCTTATAAATTCCACAATTCTTTCTAAGATTTTCATTCTTTGTTCATTAAAGGAGTTTGCTTTTTTGTATTGGAAAACATATCTCTGCTGTACAGAATTTAGTAAGGTTAGCAGGGTATCAGAGGCCTTGTGTAAGTACTCATTTTCACTGAACCCAGCTTCTTCTATTTTTTCTGCATGAGTGAAAAGAACAGCAGTGTGATTCTTCCAAGCATGTCCCAGAAGTTCCTGAAAGAGACAAGAAGCAAAATAGCTATTTGCTTTGGATTCTACATCTCAAATCAGCAAAGGAATTAAGGTCCAATGTAGTTAGACAACTGATCTGTGTGTCATAATATTTCTGAAAGTTGATATGTGTAATGGGAAGAGCATATGAGGTCAAGTATAATAAGAAAATAGGGTGATGGATGAGCTTTCTGAAAAAAACAACACTTCAGTTCTCTATTTTATTTTATTCATGTACTAGATGTATACAACCCCAACAGTTCATTCTGATTATGTTGGATGTGCTATAATTATGACATTCAGTACTTGCTTAACAGTCCAACTCTGTTAGAAGCACTAAATTCTTTTAAGTCAAATGATTCTGACCCAGGGAATTATTATAATTTGTAATAATTATTTATTTATAGAGATGTTATGTTATCATCTCTAAAAAATCTATTAAAGGCTTAAAATTACATAATCTGATTAATCAGATGACATGCCATGGAAGAGCTAAGATCAAAATGCATTTGTTGTCTTGGAACAACTACAAAATCTTCCTGTAATCCCCATCTTTCTCATTCCACATGCCTACAATCAAACAGTATCTCAAATGAATTCTTCTCATGTGGTTGGGAAATGGGGAAGACTTTGTTTGGTTATATATAGGGAAGATGGTTATGTAATAAATTTTTCTTTGATTAGTGAAAATAAGCTGATATAAAGCAGAAGTAATAGCCTGTGGTGAATTATTCACACAATAGGAAAGGCATGCAGGAACCTTTCTGAATACTTCCAAAGTTGTATGAAATAATGAAAATGTGACTGTAAAATAAGACTTTCTCCCTTCCAAATGCTCTCATTACTGCAATATTTCCAAAGATGCTACCAGTTTGTGATAGCAAGAAAAATACGAAATACATAGGAAAGAGCATAATGGGAAATACCCATGACTTCTAATACTCAGAAGAATGAAGGAAAACAGCTAATATTTATTGCCAGATATTATACGAATAACTTAATACACACTCTCTCCTTTGAAGTACAGCATGAAGCTTTGTGAGAGATATTGTTATAATCTCCATTATACAAAGGAACTGACATAGAGAGAGATTGAGTTATATAGATCAGTTAAAAATTCTAGTTTAAAAATCCATGAAGAAAATGAAAGTTTGTTAAACTTTCAGTGTACAAGATGTGATTGAAAAGTACAGTGTGTTTAATTAAAAAATCCTACAGTAAAAGACACCTTGCCCTGAATCCCCCTCAAAAAGTAAGCCTCATTTTGAACACCCTTATCCCATGGTTCTTGCCATTCTCTGTAGCAGTTCTGGAGTTTTCTTTGCTGAGTATCCTTAGTTGCCCTGTCATGGCTGCCTACATGTCCTGAATGAATTCAAATCATTTACCTGTCATGGTCATTCTGACTTTGGAGAAGAGTCAGGAATCACACTGTGCCAAATCTGTTAAATAAAGCAGGTGAGGATGCATTATGATTTTTTTATGAGCTTGCCTTTCACTTGGCAGCAGCATTCATTATAGTTTTGATCACTTTGTATTATGTGAAAGAACTGCTTGCAAAAGTGGCAAGAATGATGGGATGTGTTTGAACAAATGAGTATTTTGAGATGGATAAATAACAATGTGCCAATGGTTGTAATATTCTTTTTAAGTGTGAGCATGTGCTATTTTTGGACTCCCTTTGTATATTGCAAATACAAAATTGTTATTTATGATACTAAATGACTGAAAACGAAAAGGAATTAAAGATGGAACCAAGGAAGGAAGAATGAAAGGAATTAGGACATATCAGCCTAATATGAAAATAGTCACCAAAACCATGGGCCTAATAGTTAAAATTAGAAACATTTCAGGGCCATGGTTCGGAATTACAAGTCCTGTTGCAGTGTAGCTTTCTAATTTTGATAAGAACCATTGATTCATATCTCTATCTCTAAATCTTGACAATGAGTTCTTTGGTGAGGCCCAAGCTCTCTTCTTCAATCAAAGATTTTAGCATGTTGTAAATTCTCACTAAGTATATGTTGAATAAATTTGGAAAATAGATCCTCATCACCATTGCAAATAGAATTCTTAGCATTTTATTTATTTGTTTGATGGTATAGTTCTGTTTTGTTTTTGGTGCGGAACTGGGGATTGAACTCAGGCCCTTCCGCTTGCTAGGGAAGTGCTTATTTTACTGAGCTATGTCCCTGGCCCCGAACGTGTAGTTTTGAAGTTTAGTTTATCTTTGATACACAAAATTTTATTCTTCTGTAAAACTCTTTTGTTCTGCAGTTTTTGATGTGTTTGCCTGTGGCCTGTATCTCTATTTTGTAATCATACTGACTCTTCAATGGAATAAGTGAATCTTTCCCATATCTATTTAAAATTTGTCTTTCTATGCCATAGAACAATTGTATATTTTTATTTTTCCTAAAAATATTGTTTCAAGAAAATCTGACTTAAATTTTAAAGATTAATACATCAAAGATGTTATTTTATTAAAAAATCTAAATTTCACATAAATTTTTTAAAAAAGCACTTCAATTGGTGTATACTTATGTCTTAAACACATTAATTCATTTGAAAAATTTCATCAATCTACTCTATAAATATCATAACACTGTGTAAACTTAAGTATCTATTTGCTGCCAACATGCGATTTTAGCTGAGTGACAAAATAAAATTAGTAAATCTCTTAAGAATTTCTCATGTGCTTAGAGTACAGTTCTCAGAATCCTATAACAGATATTTGGTGGAGCAGAGCCACAGAGCTGCAGAGTAAATGAGAAGTGGTGTTAGAGTTTGAATTGTGTCCTCTCTAAATTTATGGTTTGAAGTCCTAATCCTTACTGCCTCAGAAGGTCACCTTATTTGGAAATAGGATCATTACAGATATAACTAGAGTAAGGTCACAGGGGTGAGTTCCTGATCCAGTGTGTACTGGATATCCTTACAATACAAGAAATTTGGGCAAAGACATGAAGACAGGGAGTGTGGCACGATTGTGTGATTGTGCAAAGGACCAAGGGGAGGGCCTGAGACAGGTCTTTCACTTATAGCGCTCAGAAAAAGCCAACTCTGTCAGCTTTACAACCTCCAGAACTGAGGCACAGCATATTGCTATTTTTAAGCAATCCCACATGTATGTACTTTGTCAGAGCAACCCTAGAAAACTATTAAAAGAGATTAAAAACTTAATGAAGCGCCACACATATTAGAGGTGGGCTCAGGCAACAAAAATATTCTGGGACTATTTGCATCAGAATCACCTGGGCAGTTGCTAAAATGCATCAGATCCCTTAGGGCTGGAGCCTGGTAATTTCACATCTAGAAAGCCAGAGATGACGGTCTGTTCCTTGTGAATATACTTATTGGTGGAGTACTTTGTTGGAGACATGTTGTATGGAGTAAGACAATTGTGGAACAATTCAGATAATATGTTGTGCGTATATCTAGTGGACATCTTTGTGTACTATGTGAGAGCTGGAAAAGGAGCACAACCAGGAATGACAGATTTTTAACAGTTATATTTGAGAATGTTGTGATTGCAATTAAGTTGATGTTATTGAACTAATCATTGAGTCCAGTTTTGAGAGGGTATGAGGGGTGAGGGAAAAGGTAGAGATCAGGAAGTTTCCTCTGTGAGGTGATGCTTCGAGTGATTATTTAAGAATCCATAGGAATTAACAAGGACCTTAACCTAAAGAACATGGCCAGGGATTGTACGATATTGGCATTTTATTTCCATATAACTATTGACACTCGATCACTCCTATCTCTGAAAGTTGCTCAAATTTAGAGCCAGAGCGATACTCTGACATGACCATGCTGTCTTAACAACAAATGTTTACACACAAATTAATAAAAAGCTTCTGCCCTTTACCCTTGAGCACTACCCAAACCTACTCTGTGGATATTTATTGACTCATGCTTAGAGCATATTTGTCATTAAATATTTTTTGAAATATCACTGTTATGGCTTGTATCTAGGTGATTAAAGAAGGTTCACCCTGGCTGCAGTGGCAACACCAAAAAGTCAGGTAGCCTAAAAGGGATAAAAGGGAGTGGCAGGCTGCTTCTGTTGCTGCTCTTGCTGCTTGCTTCTTTGGCTACCTTCTCTCTGCCATGAGCTGTTTCTCCTCTGGGATGCCCCTCTGCCATACCACCTTCCTTGGAGCCACAAACTGAACTACAAACTGAAACCTCTAAAGACTGTGAGCTTAAATAAACCTTCCTTCCTTTACATTTGGGTATTGGTTATCTCATCTCAGCAATGAGAAAAATAATTAAGACATTCACTATATATTTATCTTCTTAAATAAGCTATTTGTAGGCCAGTTCTTTCCTGAGATTTGTATCACAACACAGAATTGTTATCTTACTAGGTTGGTACTTACTGAGTTAAAATAGTATAATATTCATGGTATTCTTGTAGTTCCTGGTTTCCTGTGTTCCCTCTTTGTTTCTGCCAGACATTTCCTATACTTTAAATCATTATCTCATTCAGGGTAAAAGAGTTAAAGCGCCCAAGGACAGCAGACTCCTAAGCTTGCATTTACAGGCCCATGTGTTCAGTCACTGGAACGTTTACACATGTTGGTAATTATTTATGAAAGGATGCTCATGTTCTAAATTGTAGCGAAACTGCATTTTTGACTTAGGGCCCAAAACAGAGGAGAGTGGTTGATTTAGCATATTATCTTTACATAGTTTTTTGGCCAGAAAGTAGTTGAATATTTGAAAACCATGTCGCTTGGTGTAGAGTCACCATGCCAAGGGCCAAACATGTTCTCTGTGGACTCAGAAAGAGAAGCACAGCTGACTGATATCTTATAAGAAGTTGTAAGGGCAATATAAGGTAATGTAAGTTATCTAGTGCTAATAACTTAAATATAGTATGATGATAGATGGAAATTTTACAATAGTGAGTTGTTTGGTTTTAGACTGCTAATCGGTATGATTCAGTTGAGTCCTTCTGGGACAACTAGTTAGGATATAAACTTTGTTCTCCAGGAATTATGTTCACTTTCCCAGGACCTCACCAGTCCTGCCCCATTTGTTTGTGGTTGATGAAATCATAGCATCTGGACCTTTTAGGGGAAACTTTTTTAAAAAGCCAACTATTACATCAACTGAGAAAAAGATTATCATGGAACAGGAGGACAATGAGGACCATTTTAAAAATTTTATTTTATGCTATTCTGTTACTCTGTCTCCACTTTAAAGTATTCCTCAGGAGCCAAAGTGGAATGATAAGACCTCATTAGATCATATCCAGAGACTATTCAACCTTACAGAGTGTCAGTCCCAATTGCTTCATTTTACAGTGGAGGGTATTGAGGCCACTGATGCTAAATGGTGTGGCCAAGGCTAGGTGGCTGAATACTGGTGAGGCTGGGCCCATAACAAAGGTTACCTGTCAGGCCCACATTCTTCCTAGCAAGCTGGAGCTCCTCAGTTTAACCTTATTAAGCCAGTAAGATTTTTGCTTATTTTTTTATTTTATGGATGAAAGGTAAAACAAAATTTCATGACAAAACAGTAGGAGAACGACAATAGTTAACACATTGCAGATTGTTAACTTTAAAATAGTTGTTCAGAGTACAAGATATAGGCAATAAAATTTTCTCTAACCAATATTAGCACAAAGTTTCCCTTTTGATGAACTAAGAGACACTACTAGTGTAACTGACCTGCTTACTTTTCTTTTCCCCTTCCATTCTTTCTCTTTACCCACTGCTAGTTCCCCTTTCTTTTTGCACACTGTCTTCCACTCTCACAACATCTATTGTGCATTTTAAACCTTATTCACCCTTTTATATTCTCACACCTGGGAACCAGTAAGCTTCTTTCCCAGATTTTTAAAATCTATATTAATAAGGAAGTTACTTTTTTATATTCATAAATCAGACCCATGAAAATATGATTTCATGCTTATTTTCTTCTGAAGCCTACCCAGGTGAATTTAAAGACATTTAATTTTGCAAATCACACGCACAGATTTTAGGACAAATAAATACTAACAATAATAATGACCAGAGCTAACATTTACTGTACACCATCCATGTACCAGGGTCTCAGTTAAGCAAGCTACTGTTATGCCATTAATCCTCAAAGTAATTCAATAAAGTAGATATAATGACCAATTCCATTTTATCACTGGCTTAGAGAAGTTACTTGCCCCAGTTTGATGAGACTTCAGGCTAGTAGGATCTTGAAATCCAGCTTCTAACTTCCATAACATATGCTCTATATCTGCACTCCATTTGAATGAGTACTTATCGCAATCTGAACAAAGCAATGTTGGCAAGGTTTTACCACTTCCTGTGGATCTGCTATAAGGTAGGCGTCATGTTAAGCATGTCATATCTATTAAACCTAATGCTCAGAACTCCTTAAAAATGTGAATAAAATTACCCCACTTTTCAAGTGAGGAACTAAAACCAAGAAAGTCCTACTAACATCAGTGTTGAACTAAAATTCTGTATAACAACTAAGCCCAGGCTCCATAGTGGCCTTTCACCTGCAATGTCCACATTTGAGTTGTTTATTGTGAAATAAAAATTATTTCAAAATTATTGTGAAGCCAGCTTGGACATAATAATACTGTATGATATCCTGATAGTGGGAAGAATGCACACTTGAGCTGCTTCCTTGGTTCAACTCCCAGAGCGACCTGTCTGCATGTTAGCCTTTTCCTTGAGGTGACTTGATTACATCCTCTTTGAGCCATTATTCATGGATCTTGTTTTTAGCATTCAAGTAACATCCCAGATAACATTCAGATGAATCATCATTCCTCTGATTTCCCAATTTTGGGAAGATGACTCACAGACATCTTCATCATCGTGGTGTAATTAATAAAGACAAAGCGATCACTTGGGGAAATGTTTCATTGTTAAAGCTGGCGGCCTCTAACCTCTCTGCAAAGTATTACAACCCAAACTTGGAGAGATAAAGAGACAAGAGGGAGGCTTGGGGAAGAAGAGGCCAGTTGTTGAGCCCTGGCTTTACAAACTCCTCCCATCACGGGAATCAGCACCACTCAAAAAGGAAAAAGCAAGAGGGAGAACCAGATGCTCTATTCCTGTTTTTCAGTTGGACAAGAAGAAAAATAGATGCAAGATATTCCCAGAACCTGAGGACATTAGACTCCTATGTCCTTCCTAACAGCTGCTGGTCTTGTTGAGGTTCAGACATCTGCAGCTGCTTCCAATCAATTTGGGAGCTCGTGCACACACTGCCTGAGAGTGTGCAGCAGCTTCAGGAAGCAAGTCATCAAGGGTCATCCTGTGCATTGGGGACCAGCCACCAGCCACTAGGGTAGGACCAAGAATAAGTCCACAGGGCTATGCGGAGGTCATGGGCCACTCTGAGGATTCCTGAGTCTTACCTGCTGAATTTTCTTAGGAGGGAGAAGTTATTTATTATAGAAAGAATTATTCCAGACCTGAGCTTTGCCTTTGCCTATCTTCTCTTTATCTTCAACTCCTGAGTTGGAAATTTACTTAAGAAAGCAGTTGTCAGAAGAAGTTATGTGGCTGGTACTATTCAGAAAGACAGAGATGAGTACTGATCAGTTTTTATAAAGAATTAGATTGCTATATTGTTCCATCTTTTCAAACTAGAAAAGATTTGTAAAAATATATGTAATTGAAACTACACTTGTGGGCTCAGCATACGTTCATCATCAGGAAAAATAATGAGGCATGTGAAGAGAGACAGAATAGCTTTTGAAAAATAGTTGTGCATTTACTGAAGTTACTGAATTACATCCCTTTATGGCTTACACTCAATGTTTATTTAATAACATCTTTAAAAGAATTTTAAAGACTGTTTAAATAGTATACTGATGTAATGAATACAGGTTTCCCACCACTTGATTTCTACCAGAAACTGTTTGAAATGGAGGCTTTAAGTGTGGCAGCGGTTTAGAGGCTTTCTTAGATTCCATACAAAGTCTAATTGCAATCATCTTTTCTTCTCCATACTTGTACAGCCTGTCATTGATTTTTCAGGAGGTGGATGATGAGATTGATTTTTATGCTCTTGTCACCCTAATTCTTTCGGCTAGTTCCTTGTGATTACACATATGGCCTTCCCCCCAATTTTTATAAACATGCACAATTACTGAAAAACAAAATGAGTGTTACTTAGAATGATCCTTTTTGTCTTTCATAGTTAAAGGAAAAATATTCAAAGCAGACTATGCTATCTTTGTGGCTGTAACAGGACCTAAATCCACTGACGTGAGACTCAACCAAAAGGACAGAAGCACATATACCCATGCATCTTTCATGGACTATATCTGCTCTCTAATGGAGTTTCTAGTAGACATGGCTTCTCTGTGCTCAGTGACTCAGGGAGGCTCTGCAGTAATTCTAGTTGTTATAGTTTAAATCTACAAGTTCCCTGAAGGCTCCTGGGATATAGGTGAACTTTTGGAAGGTGACTGAATCATGGGTAATTATAGATGACTTCTCTGTCATGTCCCTCTGTCATGCCATCTTACCTTGGAACCAGCTATGGATATAACTCTACAAACTGTGAGCCAGAATGATCCTCTCCTGCCTTAAGTTGCATGTGTTGGTCTTAGGTCCCAGAAATGAAGAAAGTGGCAGAGACCCCAAGGAAATCCAGCAGTTCAAACTGCATAGTCCCAGACTAGAAAAATGGTGATCATGAATAAAATGGACCAGCTCAATGAACAGTATCTAGAAGTTATCAGTAATTGACTTCACAGGCCTGCTGCTTACACACTAAATACAAAAAGAGTAAGTACAATATTCTGCCTTCTAGCTCCTTTCCCCTTATCCAGCTCCTGTTCCAAATGGTCTGATTAATTGCTCACCTCAGTAACACCTGATAAACAAAGAAACATACAAATAAGGAGGCACCACTAGGCAAAGGTGGCATGTCATTTCTGTTTTACATGAAGTCCCTGTGGATCCCTCATGACTGGAATGGAATAGTTTCCTATGCTGCAGATGAAATGGTAGGCAATCTATCTGATCTTTCTGGGTTCTTTCCTACAACTATTGAAGTTATCCCCTAAATGTTTACCATGATGTTCAGCTTAGGAAACACCCTCTTATACAGTACACTGTTTTGATACTCCATGCATTCTCTTGTTCTGAGCTGGTTATTGGGTTTCTTGTAGACCATACCATCATGAGGATAGGGTTCTCACATCTTCACAAGCATTAGGCTCAGTGCAAGATTCAGTGAGCAAACAGTATACAGTTTCTTTGACATAGTATAGGTGCAAGTCAGTATCTTAGTTCTTATGTTTTAAAGAAATATATAGAAAGTCATCAAAGATATAAATATATAGTCCCCATTCTTGAGATCCTGTCACCATGATTCTTGGGGAATGTGCATTTTTAACAAGAAGCCCAGGGGATTCTGATACATACCAGAAGTGACACTGTATGAACTTTTTCAGGTTCGCAGTCATTATGAGATGACTGGGACTCATAGTTATGTAGGGAGATTAGAATCTCAATTACTGTTTTGTGACCCAGTTGCAAAGTAGCTGACTGAATTCTTCTCAAGGAAACTGCAAATATAACTCTTGAAGGAAAAAAAATCAATGTTTTTTTTTTTTTTAACTGATTACTTAAATGTGACTAACAGTTTATGGCTTAAACCACTCTTTTAACCCATTCTTCCTGCTCTTCCCTTTGAAGATGAAGTCCCCCAGTGGGAATCATGGTGGCAGTATGATTTATTCTTTATGTTACCTGGATGAGTTGGGCTGGATAGGAAGCTTCCTGTCTGCAGAAAGGCACATCTGCTCTCTGGACCAGCAGTGCCAGGTGGAGACCCTCTCTCCCAAAGTGAGCTTTCAGGGCCTTCTTGAGCTCCTGCTTCACCTGCTCCATGCTTAGCTTGCTGTGTGGGTAACCTGGAGTGTCAAGCACCTGCACCTGCAGGGTGACTTCCTGCCCTGCTCGGCGCATGAAGCTGTGGAGACAGCAGCTGCGGCCCAGGCTGCAGTCCTCGGTGACACCACAGGGAGAAAAGCTGCTGTGGAACTCAGTACTTCCCAGGAGAATGTTCCCAGCAGAACTCTTTCCACTCTGAGTCCTGCCAAAGAGTGCTAAGTTGATGACCATCTTGTGAGTGTCCGTCATGGCTGTTGGTAAACAAAAACACGGCATATGGAGTTGAGGATCTACTTTCCCGACTTGAAGGCTTCTTTCCTGGCCTGGAATATTCTGTGTACAGTTGCCCCTCAGTCTCCAAAGGAGGATTTGTCCTTAGGTTCCCTGCAGACACCAAGACCAGCAGGCGCCCAACTTCCTTATATAAAATGGCGTAATATTTGAATATAACCTACTCATATCTTCCCCTATGATACTTTAAATGATATCTGGATTATTTATAATGCCTAATACTATGCAAATAATTCATGAACAGTCATATTTAGGGAATAATAACAAGCAAAAGCATCTGTATTTGATCAACAGAAACTTTTTCCTCCCAAATATTTTTAATCTGTGTTTGGTTGAATCCACAGCCTATGGACATGCCACAGAGAGAGAAGAAAAAGACAATGGAAATAATATTAGTTTACAGTGGAAGGACAGAGAAAAGTTAAATATGGATAAGGGAGGTAAGAAGACATAATAATAATTGTATGAAAATGAGAAGAAAAACAGATTACATGAAGACACACATTAATGACACACATTAATGTTCATAACATGAACATGTGAATATATCATGTTAATACATTGGTATGGTGGGAAAGTTGGTTCCATAGTGAGCTAGCCATTTTAGTTCCTGAGTTCAAGAACAAAATCAGCAAGAACATTTGAAAATTATTCATGGTTAAAGAAGTTAGAACAAGATGGCAAAAACCCCCCAGCATTTCAGCAGTGTCCTCCACCTCCCCACCTTCGTAGTCCCTGATTGCACAGTACCATCAGCAAAAATTAATCTCTTCTGACTTCCTGAACATATCTATGAAATATAAAAGAAATCAAAGGAGATTTCTGTTTCTGTTTACCAAATACTACTTTTTAAGCAACCAGACAACATTCTGGTGAAAGTGAAAATTATTCATAATTTCTGTCATGAAAAATTAATAAATCATCTTCACAGTCGATCATTGCTAAATATAACCTTTTCAATCAGCACAGTAAAACCCAACACATTGTACAATGAAGAGAGAAGACTCTCTGGATTAGGTTGCTCCATGTAAAGATGGAAAGTGTAGTCTTCTCTATGGAGCATAAATCCTCATAACATCTTAAGTCATCAATTATTTTCACTGATTGATGAGCTGTTACTGTCTGATGGCCTTTTGAGCTCATTCTGCTGATTCAGAAATAGACACTTTAATATAGCAGACTTGTTATTGCTGCTCACAACCTGTGAGCAATTCTCTGTGTGTCTCTGTCTGTTATACAATTGTAAGTATCCCAGGCTTTTCTTGGCCTCTAATGCTGCTCATCCCAGTATTCCCAGATTCTAAAGTGGGCGCCTGGAAGGAGTTTCATGTCCCCATAAAGTCACGAGTTTGGGGGCTCCCTCAAGTCAACACCATCTCACATGGCTCATTCCCTACTGCTGACAGCGCTAAATCACAACTAATTTATTTTCACTCCTCATTTAGATACTCGATATTTTAATAGAACAAACTCAATAATTCAATCCATTCTCTGTGTGTCACTTACCTTTTCAGTCTTGAAAATGCTTTCTTTACAAAGACTTTCTAGGAGCTGCGTAGTTACTCTTTGGCATAAACTTTAACCTCTTGATAGTGCTACTGTACCAGTTGGAGACTGATACTGTATTATTTTACTTAGTTAATCTATTACAGGACATCCTATTTATAAGTGACCAGCTATCTTTCTCTTATCAACACTGACTTATGTCACCTGGCTGACTTGAAATTTTAACGGATACTTCCTGAAACTTCCCTTTGCAGGATTAAATTATTTGATTTAGTGTATTTATAGTAAATAGTAATTTATAGCATATGGCATAAAGAAATATTAATTTGGATAAATTTTAAATGTTCTTTAACAATAGTTGTAGTGTTTTTCCATTTTAGTTGGTAAACATGATATCAGTATTTCGTAAAAAGGTCCAACAAATACATAATCATTGGATACTGACCTCACAACAGGATTCAGCTCATAGATTCAAATTTTGTAAGAAACTTTTAGGCTGTTTCTATATAATTAAAATTTATTGTTTTTTCCTAAGTGATAAAATTATTATCATTATCTTCTTAGCACATATAATTTTAATATAAATTAATGATAATGTATTTAAGAAATGACCTACAGTTAACTGTAACTTATCAAATACAATTTTCCTTAAAAAACTGCATTTGTTCTCTTTTCTTTTGTGGCACCAGGATTGAGCCCAGGGCTGCTATACCATGGAGCTACATCCCCAGCCTTTTTGATTTTGAAATAAAACAGAGGCTCACTGAGTTGCCCAGGCTGGTCTTGAACTTGTAAACTTCTTGCTTCCTCTTTCTGAGTAATTGGAATTAGAGATGGGCATCATCATGTTTACTTTGTTTTGTTACTGAAAGTTCAAATCTGACTTTTCCTACGTTTTAGTCTATAAACCATTACCCTCCAAATCCCTTGTTGTAAAGCATAAGACATAGAAACCTTAGTATGCTCATGTTTTGGCCAATAGTGTCTTGTATATGTCCAAAAGTCTGTAGTGTATATTTGCATGTGAGGGGGACATGGAGACATCCGGACATCGTATAACCTGTTGGGCAGAGAGATCTAAAGTCCCCTCCCAGTGTGGAAATGACAAGGAAAACTTAAAATGGATCCACACATCTGACAAACACATAGATTTCAAGAGTGGGGCAGAACCTCCCCCAGGGCAGGAGCAGCCTGTTTCCTAAGAAGTGATTTTAAACCGCAATTTGTTCTCATTTTCATCTTAAAAACGTAAACTGCTATTCTTCAACATTCTACATCTGCACCTATCAATTGTGGGAGGGATTTTTTGAAGTAGGACAAAGCTGAACTTTCCTCTCAGCGTTTCTTAAGGACATGGCAAGAATAAGACGGTTTTAGTTTTCAAATTCTCCACTTTGAAATTAGAGTTCAAGTCATCTGCTGAATGCAACACTGACTGTTTAACAAATCAAGTTCAGAATTCATAAGCATAGTTATATATTTCAATGACAGAGCAAGAGTTTTAGATAATTTCTCATAGGTCTAATGGGGGTTTTAGATTTGAGTTACTTTGAGATTTAAAGAAGGGATATTTATTCATATTAGATGATTGTGGAAGATAATTGTTAATGTTTTTTGAATAGAGTAAAAGATCACTTTGAAAAATTACCTTTCCACTGATTTGGCTAAGAACTTTATAGTAGGGATAAAGTATGTCATTCTTTAATAGAAGGCTTCAAAATTCTTCTTAGGAAGGCAATTAGTTTTTAAACAGTAATTGATTAATGACATGAATCAAACTGACAAAAAATTAATGGCCAATCTGTGAGCAATGGAGGAAAAGCCAAGAACAAATAGAAAATATTAGGGTATAAAAGGATATGAGAGGGAGACAAGAACAGAGAGTAAGAGGTATAATCCTGCAGCAGGGCAGGGCCTCTCTGTTTTAGAGCTAGAAATGGCTAAGGGACTATTTCAGAGCAGAAATGGCTAATACTCAGGTTTAACCTCCTTGTTTGGGGGATATAAAGTTAGGTCAGATTCACATTTTCTTTGTATGAAAGTGGCTTTTTACTTTTGTGGAGTTTTGGAGTTGTTGCTTACATTTCATTTATTTTCCTTATGTGAAATTAATGAGATTGTTTGAAGTCCAGTGCTGTATAAGCAAGAATCAGACAAGTTGGAGATTATTGGATATAACATCTGAGTTAAAGTAATTTAAAAGAAACAGGAGATCAAAGCTGAAAGACTCTAGTCCCCACAAATTTGGAGGAACCTTTGAGAGGATATTAGATTTTATTAAAAAAGCACACATTCATATGTGTATTTATACTTTTGTGTGTGTATATATGTGTGTGTATGTGTTTAAATTTATATATCTATATAATAAGTAAAATCATATCTCTGTACTCAAATGAGTTTTATTATAAATTATGTTTGACTAATAGCAATTTGATAAAAGGAGATTCTCATGGTTTTAAATGAATTCCAATCTTTGTCTAGAAATTTGAATCCCTTGCTCCATTATTTATTTTTATAATAAGCAGAAACATACACTACTGATCAGATTCTCAATTTCTGATGCCCAAGTGGCTTTAACCTTAGCCAACACTGCACCAGTGGTGCTCCCTCTTTATGGACAAGCTGAGTGAGGCGAGTGGTGACTTGACTGACAGTGTGAGCTGTATTTAGAGGAAGTCATCAGACTCCCATCCTGCTTTGAAAATATTGAGACATGGGTCAGAATTTTAAAGTGGGTACACAAATGATCTTAATTTGATAGAGGTTCAGAGATTTGTGAAGCAATAAGGAAAGCTTGAGTCTGGGCAGAAAAATTTATGAGAGGAGAAGGCTTCAGTCCTAACACGGTTTCATTGACTATGGACTCGACCACTGACATCCCCATGCATGAAAATTTCTAGTTTTTGTTGGTAATGATGCTGTTTCTTTGCTTTCTTTTTCTGCTGAGCATTGCTATGTACAGCTCTTCACATTGTAAACCTAACACGTTTCTCAAAATGTTTTAAAAATGTAGACAACATTTGAAAAGACTTTCAAGTATTTTTTATTAGTTTTATTAAGAAACAAATAGCAGACCCAGTCCTAGCCCAGGTCTGGTGAGTGTGTGGAGAGATTCCTGCTAACCTGCACCAGCAGGACCAGTCCCAGCCCAGGTGCAGCGTGGGCCGGACCCTCTCCCACCCCCTTGGACTGCCCCCCACCACTCCGCTGTACCTCCCCACCCCAGTAGGAATTTCTGCCGAGTTCCGGGAATGCCCAGACCCAGTCCTAGCCCAGGTCTGCAGCGGGAAGGAGCTGAGCACAGCAGCCAGACCTAAGCCAGACGCAGCTGGTTAACTTCAAACTCTGTAGAGCTCCACCTGAACTTCAGTACGTGTGAAGGTTATAACTACAGCAAAGATCTACAACAAAGGGCAGAAGACAGTGCTACACAAAATG